GATCTCATTCTGTTTCTCTCCTACCCAACAAGCGATCCAGTTCGCTCGCGATTCGTTGTTCCAACAATGGCGATAACATATCGTCCGAAAAAGATACTCCAATCGAACTAAGTAAGAATTTCTTTGATTCCTAATTTTTTTTTTTTTGACATTTCAATTCTCACACTGATTCGTCTCTTCTCTCTAATCTCCAGAATTCCCAGCATTTCCAACGGTAATGGACATTAACAAGATCAGAGAGATATTACCTCACAGGTAAATTGAAAAAGCTTTGATTTTTGAGGAGTTGATGAGTTTTCGTTGAGACCCATGTTTGAAAGTTTGATCCTTTTTGGGATTTCTTGGAATTTAGGTTTCCGTTTCTGCTGGTAGATAGAGTGATTGAGTATACGCCTGGTGTTTCAGCTGTAGCTATTAAGAATGTCACAATCAATGACAATTTCTTCCCTGGTCATTTCCCTGATCGACCCATCATGCCTGGTGTTCTTATGATTGAGGTAATCATCTTAAAGTTGCAAACTTTCTAAAAACTCTAAACATCTTCTTCCAATTCTCTCTAATGTTTGATGATTCTCTACAGTTTTAACAATGATTAGTGGTTAATGGTCTGCTAGTTGGTGTTGTTTTGGATTCTAATTAGTTAGTGCGAGATCTTTATCGCATTGGTAAATGAACGGTCCTCTGCTAGAGTGATGAGTAAATTATAGTTATGGGACATGAAGATCACTTTGCTAAAAATTTGCTTCAAAACGTGTGAAACTATCTGTGAAATTTCACTTCTTCAACTCTAATGAAAACCCAAGTTTGCGTATTAGAAGCTATGGTGAAAGTGGAGAGATGCAGCTTTGATATATAGGTTTTGGATTCTGAATTTGGATTGATGAACGATCGGTTTTTGGTAACAGTGAGTACGATGTCTTAAAAGACTTGAAGATCACCTTACTGAAATGTCGAGTTTGCGTGTTGCAGGCAATGGCGCAAGTGGGAGGTATAGTAATGCTGCAGCCGGAAGTAGGAGGGTCTCGAGATAACTTCTTCTTTGCCGGTATTGATAAAGTGAGATTCCGCAAACCAGTGATTGCAGGAGACACACTAGTCATGAGGATGACTCTTCTCAGGTTCCAGAGACGGTTCGGGCTTGCTAAGATGGAAGGTAAAGCTTATGTGGGTGGCTCGTTGGTGTGTGAAGGCGAGTTCATGATGGTTTCTGCAGGTAGCTCTTGATCACGCAAATTAATGGACCCGCTCGCTATGTGTTGATTCTTCTGTTTTTCACAAAACTAGACATTACATTTTATGAGTTTCTTCTACAAGGTTCTTCTCCCACTTTGTGTGTTTACTGCGGTCTCTGATTGATGAAGATTCATGATATATATATATATGGACCAGTGTGATTATGAAAACCCATATTCATAGATATAAATTTGGTATAATACAAGGAGGCACAAACATAATAACTCTCAAGTCTTTTTTACACATTTGATCCAAAAGCTTAGCTAATCTTCTCCCCAAATAAACTGACCTAATTCTTATCACACAAATTAACCCTAAAGCTTCTTCGTATGATCTTTCTCACATACATATTCATATAAACAAAATGATATATATGAATGAAACAATTGAGAGTCTTCATATCCTAAGGTCTTAGGTCCTTCTGCTTCTTCATCCATCCTTCACTTGTACTCCATGATCATGTTATTCTCCGGTGCAAGCCCAACACAGGCCCTGAGAATGTTCTCCAGCATCACCCGCTGCTTCGACAGAGCATTCACCACCGGTGTTCCAGGCGGTACAAGTGGTGCCTTTGAGAGGTAACTGAGTATGCCTCACAAGTGTTATGCATTACTATTGTGTTTTTCCCTCCCATAAATATTTCCGAAGTGTACTCGTCCATAGCTCTTTTACTATCCCCAACATAAGGAACATACTACAACACAATCAAAACAATAGCAAAATTTACGACTTCAAAATGTGAGCAAGAAGAAAGAAAGACAAATTGATTACTCCGATCACTGATTCAAAATCAAACCTTGATGACAACAACATGGACGGGATGTTCACGGGGCTCAAAGAGGATGGCATTACTAGCCACCATGTCGTCAACGACATTACTCTTCGAAATTTCCTTAGAGCGAAAAGTCTGTGGCGCTGAGAAGTTCATGCCGTCGTTGTTTCCCAAATGATTATAGCTCACAATCGAAGTAGGCTGCCACAAAAACAGATTAATGACGAGGACATCAATGCCACACTAACCGAACCAGTAGCACAAACAATCAACATACCAACCATGAGGCAAGCTCCAAGAACAAGGTCAGGAACCAAGAGCTTAAGAGAGGAGTTCAACAAGACAATAGAAAGCTTAATCACCCTAATCGAGCATGAAGACCTCAAGAAGACACTCCTCACCAAAGAGATCATTCAAGAGACTCKTTTRACTCCAGAAGACAATGTAGGCATAACAAAGACTCAATGCTTTGAAGATGATCAAGATCACGTCAACATGGAGCTGGAAATACAACAAGAAAGCAAGAACAAAAAAAGAATGGCTCAAGAACCAAATTATAACGTTTCTGCCAGTTCTACAAGGAAAAAATGAATCAAACATTTTCATCATTTCAAAGAGCCTTTGAGGAGAAGAAAACGTGCATTCAAACAATCAAGCTGAGTATTTGAATTCGAATTTCTAATGAGTTTTCTTTTTCTGTTTTGTAGGAATTTTCCCTCTTCATTTTTAAGAACTTTTCTGAAATAGTTTAAGTAGTTGTTTCTTCTAATTTGTTGCGTTTTGTACTTTCTTTTTCTGAAACAATAAGCCCTAGAAGGCAGAGCTGACGAACCATTTATAAGGTTCCTTTGCAGCTTTTATTATTTTTTGACCTTTGATATTAATAAAGAACGAACTTTCTTCTCTTGAAGAACCCTAGCCGCTCTCTTCTTCTTGTGTGCGAATCCTTGAAGAACTAGTTGCATCTCGACTTATCAAAGATCAAACCAACAATCTGTGTGGCGTCCATCACTCCATCTTCACGTTTCATTCACTTGAATACTCTAAAGAGATCCGTACGGGCAGTTAGAGCATTCTCCATCTCATTCATTCACATATCATCACTATTATTGTTCTAGAGAGCTTCGTACGAACATCTAAATCAATACCACCTTATCATCACTTGTAGATCAATATCCTTGATCCTACATCATCTGGTATCAGAGCCTAAGGGTCCTAAATCCAGGTTCTATCGTTTCTGATTTATTTAGATTACTGTTTGTTTCTGGTTACTTGATTTGTGTTGTTTACTTGCTATTGCATTCGTAAAATCTAAAAGAAAAAGAAAATTCGTTTGTTATTGCTTCTGTTTGCTTGATTTGTGTTGTTTACTTGCTATTTCATTTGTAAAACCTAAAAGAAAAAGAAACATCGTTTTGGTATTGCTTTGGTTTACTTGAGTTCTACTTTTTACTTGCTTTTGTTCTTTGTTTTTTTTGTCTGATTTCAGTTTATGTTCGTGTTGCACTTGTTCTATTTGTTACATCATTCACTCGCCCTACTTGCATTCGTTCATTCAGTTAGTTTTATATTGCATCACAAAGAAAAGCCAAAAAAATTTCATGTAGTTCTTGGTTAGTTCATTCTGCCGCATTTGTTAACTTTCAGAAAACCATAAAAAAAGGAATAGAAATTTGCTAGTTCTGTCATTACATTTAAAAAAAAAAACAGTTAGAAGTATTGTTTTCATTTTGTTCTGTTTAGCTTTTTCAATTCCCCTTTTACACTTGATCTGTTTGTTTTAGTGATAGACAAAAATCCAGAAACATGTGAGAACAAGGAGAAGCGAACATGGCTCAGATACTTGTCAACATTCAGGCTCAACTCAAAATCTTAACAGAACGTATGACGCGGATGGAGCAGTCCCAACTTGCACGCAGAGGGCCTATCCGAGGTGTGAATGGAAATAGAGCAAATCCCAAAGATGAAGACATGCCTGACTTGGATGATGATCCTCCACCAGACCCTCACCTTAATCAGAGACTAAGGAGACAACACAACCGTGAGAGAGGCAGAGAGGATGAAACAAGACATGGAGGCAAA